GTGAGCTCAGGGTGATACCTTGTATGGTAGTGAACTCAGGGTGATACCTTGTATGGTAGTGAACTCAGGGTGATACCTTGTATGGTAGTGAACTCAGGGTGATTTCCTTGTATGGTAGTGAACTCAGGGTGATACCTTGTATGGTAGTGAGCTCAGGGTGATACCTTGTATGGTAGTGAGCTCAGGGTGATACCTTGTATGGTAGTGAACTCAGGGTGATACCTTGTATGGTAGTGAGCTCAGGGTGATACCTTGTATGGTAGTGAGCTCAGGGTGATACCTTGTATGGTAGTGAACTCAGGGAGATACCTTGTATGGTAGTGAACTCAGGGTGATACCTTATATGGAGGTGAGCTCAGGGAGATACATTGTATGGTAGTGAGCTCAGGGAGATACCTAGTACGGTAGTGAGCTCAAGGAGATACATTGTATGGTAGTGAGCTCAGGGATATACTATATACGGTAGTGAGCTCAGGAAGATACCATGTACGTTAGTGAGCTCAGGGAGATACCTTATACGGTAGTGAGCTCAGGAAGATACCTTGTATGGAAGTGAGCTCAGGGAGACACATTGTATGGTAGTGAGCTCAGGGAGATACCTAGTACGGTAGTGAGCTCAAGGAGATACATTGTATGGTAGTGAGCTCAAGGAGATACCTTGTATGGTAGTGAGCTCAGGGATATACTATATATGGTAGTGAGCTCAGGAAGATACCATGTACGTTAGTGAGCTCAGGGAGATACCTTATACGGTAGTGAGCTCAGGAAGATACCTTGTATGGAAGTGAGCTCAGGGAGATACATTGTAAGGTAGTGAGCTCAGGGAGATACCTTGTATGGTAGTGAGCTCAGGGAGATACATTGCATGGTAGTAAGCTCAGGGAGATACGTTGTATGGTAGTGAGCTCAGTGAAATACCTTGTATGGTAGTGAGCTCAGTGAAATACCTTGTATGGTAGTGAGCTCAGGAAGATACCTTGTATGGTAGTGAGCTCAGGTGGATAAATTGTATGGTAGTGAGCTCATGTGGATATCTTGTATGGTAGCGAGCTCAGGGGGATATACTGTATGGTGAGTTCAGGGGAATATACTGTATGATGAGCTCAGGAAGATATCTTGTATGGTAGTAAGCTCAGGGGGACTACCGTGTATAGTAGTGAGCTCAGGGCTGATATATTTTATAGTAGTGAGCTCAGGGCTGATATATTTTATAGAAGTGAGCTCTGGGGGATATCACACAGTAGTGAGTTTTCTTTCAATGTTCACTGCATGTGGCAGGATGTGATGAAATAACATGTAACAAGCCTGGTGCTCCGGGGTATGACACTGACCGTCTAGCAGAAGCTAGACGCCCATACTTACCTGGAGTCCGTCTGTGTGCTAATAGCCCTGATGCAGAGTGCGCAGGTTCCAACCCTGGTGTGTGTGTGTGTGTGTGTGGTTTTGTGTGTGTGTGTGTGTGGTGTGTGTGTGTGTGTGTGTGTGTGTGTGTGTGTGTGTGTGTGTGTGTGAGTACCCAGTTTAAGTCGTAATAAACAGGAAGACAGACGGAGTGCTGGAGCCGTGATCTTGGGACTTACATTAATTAAATATATATATATATATATATATATATATATATATTATATATATATATATATATATATGTCGTGCCGAATATGTAAAACTGGTCAATTAGCAGAACTCATTTAAAATTAAGTCCTTTCTAAAATTTTCTCTTATACGTTTAAAGATATATATTTTTCATTAATGTTAATGTAAAAATTTATAATTTTGCACCAAAAGGAACTTAGAAAACTTACCTAACCTTATTATAACAAGAGCAATTTATTTTAGCCTAACCCAACTTAAATATATTTTAAATACGTTTACAATAATTTAGTACTAAACAAACACAACCAAATATATATTTTTTTCGTTAGGTTCAGAATGATTTTGGCGAAATTATTGCATATACAAATTTTCACTTGTCCTATATGGCAAGATGAGCGTTGCTATTTAAGCCAAGATGGCAAGTTTTTGCCTATTCGGCACGACATATATATAATATATATATAAAATATATTTAAAATATATATAATATATATATATATATATATATTTTATTTATAAAACACACACACACACACACACACACTCAAAACACTAATCGTAAGATTTCAGAAAAATCTTACGTAATGGAGAGTAAACAAGGTGAGAGTAGTGACGAGCACGTCAAAGTTACCTTAAGACACTAGTTGCTTCTCTGTACTGGACAATTGTTGGCTAATGTAATTATTTGTACATTCGTTAGTCACTAGTCGTACACTCGCTAGTCACTGGTTGTACACTCGCTAGTCACTAGTCGTACACTCGCTAGTCACTAGTCGTACATTCGCTAGTCACTGGTTGTACACTCGCTACTCACTAGTCGTACACTCGCTAGTCACTGGTCGTACACTCGCTAGTCACTGGTCGTACACTCGCCAGTCACTTGTACACTCGCCAGTCACTTGTCGTGCACTCGCTAGTCACTGGTCGTACACTCGCTAGTCACTGGTCGTACACTCGCTAGTCCAGGGTCGTACACTCGCCAGTCACTTGTACACTCGCCAGTCACTTGTCGTGCACTCGCTAGTCACTGGTCGTACACTCGCTAGTCACTGGTCGTACACTCGCTAGTCACTGGTCGTACACTCGCTAGTCACTAGTCGTACACTCTAGTCACTAGCTGTACACTCGCTAGTCACTAGTCGTACACCGCTAGTCATAGTCGTACACTCTAGCCTAGCTGTAACTCGCTAGTCACTAGTCGTACACTCGCTAGTCACTAGTCGTACACTCTAGTCACTAGCTGTACACTCGCTAGTCACTAGTCGTACACTCGCTAGTCACTAGTCGTACACTCTAGTCACTAGCTGTACACTCGTAGTCACTGGTCGTACACTCGTTTAGTCACTGGTTTTTCACTCGCTAGTCACTAGTCGTACACTCGCTAGTCACTAGTCGTACACTCGCTAGTCACTGGTCGTACACTCGCTAGTCACTAGTCGTACACTCGCTAGTCACTGGTCGTACACTCGCTAGTCACTAGTCGTACACTCGCTAGTCACTAGTCGTACACTCGCTAGTCACTAGCTGTACACTCGCTAGTCACTGGTCGTACACTCGCTAGTCACTAGTCGTACACTCGCTAGTCACTAGTCGTACACTCGCTAGTCACTGGTCGTACACTCGCTAGTCACTGGTTGTACACTCGCTAGTCACTAGTCGTACACTCGCTAGTCACTAGTCGTAAAACTCGCTAGTCACTGGTCGTACACTCGCTAGTCACTAGTCGTACACTCGCTAGTCACTGGTCGTACACTCGCTAGTCACTGGTCGTACACTCGCTAGTCACTAGTCGTACACTCGCTAGTCACTGGTCGTACACTCGCTAGTCACTAGTCGTACACTCGCTAGTCACTAGTCGTACACTCGCTAGTCACTAGTCGTACACTCGCTAGTCACTGGTCGTACACTCGCTAGTCACTAGTCGTACACTCGCTAGTCACTAGTCGTACACTCGCAGTCACTGGTCGTACACTCGCTAGTCACTAGTCGTACACTCGCTAGTCACTAGTCGTACACTCGCTAGTCACTGGTCGTACACTCGCTAGTCACTAGTACACTCACTACTAACATGTTACTCATCACTCATACAATGATGAGTCAGTCAAGATGAACATAAGTAATATATTACTCGGGAAAGACTTGACACCTGTAGGGGTCATACAGCGCCTGGGGAAATGGCAGGTGATCAGGTTTGATCCAATGAAGGGGAAACCAGCTACAATTCCGTGAATCATGAATCTCCCCGAATGGAGAAACAATAACAACAATCAAAATGCAGTGATTGCAGCAGTTCACAACAGTGACTAAAACAGTTCACAACAGTGACTGCAACAGTTCACAACAGCGGCTGCAACAGTTCACAACAGTGACTCCAACAGTTCACAACAGTGACTGCAATTTCACAACATTGACTGCAACAGTTCACAACAATGACTGCAACAGTTCACAACAGCGGCTGCAACAGTTCACAACATTGACTGCAACAGTTCACAACAGTGACTGCAACAGTTCACAACATTGACTGCAACAGTTCACAACAGTGACCAACAGTTCACAACATTGACTGCAACAGTCCACAACAGCGGCTGCAACAGTTCACAACATTGACTGCAACAGTTCACAACAGTGACCAACAGTTCACAACAGTGACCAACAGTTCACAACATTGACTGCAACAGTTCACAACAGTGACCAACAGTTCACAACAATGACTGCAACAGTTCACAACATTGACTGCAACAGTTCACAACAGTGACCAACAGTTCACAACAGCGGCTGCAACAGTTCACAACAGTGACCAACAGTTCACAACAGCGGCTGCAACAGTTCACAACATTGACTGCAACAGTTCACAACAGCGGCTGCAACAGTTCACAACAGTGACCAACAGTTCACAACAGCGGCTGCAACAGTTCACAACAGTGACCAACAGTTCACAACAGCGGCTGCAACAGTTCACAACAGTGACCAACAGTTCACAACAGCGGCTGCAACAGTTCACAACAGTGACCAACAGTTCACAACAGCGGCTGCAACAGTTCACAACAATGACCAACAGTTCACAAACAGCGGCTGCAACAGTTCACAACAGTGCCCAAAACAGTTCCACAACAGCGGCTTGAAACCCAGTTCACAACATTGACTGCAACAGTTCACAACAGCGGCTGCAACAGTTCACAACAGTGACCAACAGTTCACAACAGCGGCTGCAACAGTTCACAACAGTGACCAACAGTTCACAACAGTGACCAACAGTTCACAACAGCGGCTGCAACAGTTCACAACAATGACTGCAACAATTCGCAACAAATCAACAAATTGAAGATAAAGAGTCAGGTATTTCGGGCCATCCTGGGTCAATATAAAGGTCATTAAGGGTCCAGGTTGGTCCCAGACCTCGTCTAAAGATCTATCTCCAATTTCTAAGTTTGACTTGTGTGGAGAGAGTAAGAGAAGTTGTGTGTTAACTCACAGCTCTTGACAGCAGCAGCAGCAGCAGCAGCAGCAGCAGTAGGAGGCGAGGAGGGTGGTGGACGAGCAGCTGTGGCTGGCACTCTCCTCAACCTTAACTCACCTGAAACATAATAACTTATTAACTAACATGAAATATAATAACTTATTAACTAACATGAAACATAATAACTTATTAACTCACAAGAAACATAACTCACATGACACATAACACCTTATTAACTCACATGAAACATAACACATCATTAACTCACATAAAAAACACTCTAGGCCTTGAAAGAATCCCCCATAATACAGTGGAGGTCTACAGGGACTTGGCTAAGGTATCTGACATGCGGGCTGCGAGAGCAGGAAAAACTCTCGACATCCTTGAAACGCATCTCAAGTTTTCCAATGGGCAGTAAAAAACATGATCTTCATTGGGACTAATTTTAATTGTTCGGATATAAGAAAAATGAATAACTCAAAAGATGAACGGTATACCAAACGCAGGACAACAATGTGATGATTAACAAGGACAAGTTGCAGTTGCTCCGCTAGGGAAGAAAGTAGGAAATAACGACTGTAGCAAAAGTTCCATATGCGAGACTTCGGAGTAAAGATGTTGGAAGATCTTACATTCAAGAATCACAACAATGTGGTCATTGCTACCGCAAGGAAAATGACAGGCTAGATAACTAGAACTTTTAGGATAAGGAATGAGGAGCCAATGATACTCTTAAAGTCCCTTGTTCTCCCTAGACTAGAATACTGCTGAGCTGAAGAACATATATAGAACTTTCACTGCTGTACATTCAATCAAGCATCTGAACCACTGGGAAGGCTTGAAGTCACTTCAACTGTGCTCTTGGAATGTAGACGAGAAAGGCACATCATAATTTACACCTGGAAAATCCTGGAGGGACTGGTCTTAAATCTGAGCACTGTAATTACTCCGTATAACAACAAGAGACTTGACAGATGGTGCAAAATACTTTCAATAAAAAGAAGGGGCGCGACGAGTACACTAAGAGAGAACTCTCTCTATGCATAAAAGGAATCAACAACAAACCTTTGGCTGTTTTCAAGAGGGAACTCGACAAGTTCCTCCAATCAGTTCCTGACCAGCCGAGCTGTAGTTCGTAAGCTGAATTGCGTGCAGGCAGTAGTAACAGCCTGGCTGATCAAACTGTGACCTACCAGGAGGCCTGGTCTGGGACTAGGCCACAACAGCACTAACCCCCAGAAACATCCAAGTATCCAAGAGGGTCTCCACAAAGAACAAAATAAGCATGTAAAAGACCTGGATACAATAATGTCAGCTGAGCAGTCTATTATAGAACACAATAAATCAAATGCTGCAAAAGTCAAGAAAATTACTGAATGGATAACGATATCTCTCAAAACAAGAGAACGCCAGTGGAGACAATATTCAAACAAATTGTGCTCTATCGCTCAGAATACCGCTCAGTGTTGACGGCTCATTTCACGACAGGTGAGATAGCCGAATTGGAAAAAATAGAGGCCAATTACTGCCCGCACAGAACTGGAAATGTACTCTCTGGAGGGAAGGCGAGAGTATTCATATTATATACAAGGAGGATACTCGCGGGCCTGGTTCCAAATCTGCGCACTGCCATAACGATTTAACGGAGTGAGAGAGAGAGAAGGAAGTGTAAAATAGATCAAATGAAAAACGGGGAAGTCATCGGCACAATAAGAGAACACTATGTCAACTTCTGTGGCCCTAGTCTGTTCTAGCTTCTACCTACCTGGAGTTACCTGGAGGTTATTCCGGGGATCAACGCCCCCGCGGTCCGGTCCATGACCAGGCCTCACGATGGATCAGGGCCTGATCAACTAGGCTGTTACTGCTGGCCGCACGCAGTCCAACGTACGAGCCACAGCCCGGCTGATCCGGCACTGACTTTAGGTATCTGTCCAGCTCTCTCTTGAAGGCAGCCAGGGGCTTATTGGCAATTCCCCTAATGCTTGATGGGAGGCTGTTGAACAGTTTTGGGCCCCGGACACTTATGGTGTTTTCCCTTAGTGTACCAATGGTGACCCTACTTTTTATTGGGGGCACTTTGCATCGCCTGCCCAGTCTTTTACTTTCGTAGGGAGTGATTTCTGTGTGCAGATTTGGGACCATTCCTTCCAAGATTTTCCAAGTGTAGATTACGATATATCTCTCCTGCGTTCCAACGAGTACAAGTCAAGTGCTGCCAAGCGTTCCCAGTAGTTAAGGTGCTTGACAGAACTTATACGTGCAGTAAAGGATCTCTGTACACTCTCTAGATCTGCGATTTCACCTGCCTTGAATGGAGATGTTAATGTACAGCAGTATTCCAGCCTAGAGAGAACAAGTGATTTGAAAAGGATCATCACTGGCTTGGCATCTCTCGTTTTGAAAGTTCTCATTATCCATCCTATCATTTTCTTTGCACCTGTGATCGTGGCACTGTTGTGATCCTTGAAAGTGAAAATCCTCAGACATTACTACTCCCAGGTCCCTTTCATTATTTTTCCGCTCTATTGTAGGCCGGGTCAGTAGTATACTTGTTTAGTTATTATCTCCTCCAGTTTTCCATAACGGAGTAGTTGGAATTTGTCCTCATTGAACATCATATTGTTTACCGTTGCCCACTGGAAAACTTTGTTTATATCTTCTTGGAGGTTAACCGCGTCCTCAGCAGATGACAGCCTCATGCAGATCCTAGTATCATCCGCAAAGTATGATACGGTGCTGTGGTGTATATCTCTGTCTATGTCTGATATGAGGATAAGGAATAAGATGGGGGCGAGTACTGTGCCCTGTAGATATGAAAAATATTGTCGGAACAGGTGTAGAGGTATTCAAGACGAAACTGGTTTACTAGTTCTGCAGTGTGCCAGATCAACCAGACTGTGTGGGATGTGCAGGCTGGGGGTTACCTTTATATCTGATAAGTTTTGAGATTTTTTCTAACTCAAGAGCCCGGCCCTGAGCCAGGCTTATCTGGTGCTTACCTAGTCAACCAGGCTGCTGCTGCTGCTCACCTACTGGCCCACATATCCATCACAGCCAGCTTGATCTGGCACCTGAAGACTTCTACACTTGTCACAGCAGTGTATCTGATATCTTCTGGTAAGATATTGAATAGTCTGGGGCCACGGATGTTGATGCAGTGTTCCCTTACTGTGCCCACTGCACCCCTGATTGTCACTGGGTTTATTTTGCACTTTGGTTGACCAGGCATCAATAGGGAAGCCTGGCCCATGGCCCCAGACCGCGAGAGTAAAAAAAACTCTAGAAACAGGTCAGGGGTAAATGACAGGTAAAAAAAAGACACCACCCAACTATTAACTCAGCAGTAAGAGAATTAACTCTGGGGAGTGAGTAGAACATGGGAACGCCTCTGTATGTGAAAAGAGAGTGAAATAACGGTGGTTGAATCGATCAGTTTGAAGTGAGACACAGAGGTCAGAAAACTACAGAGGTCAACCAACTGACCAGAACTTATGACCAGAACTTATGTCCCGAGAAAATCTTTGTTGGGACTGTAACTCGTGGGAGGAAACATTAGTGTGGTGGTGGTGGTGGTGGTGGTGACTACCTAATTTGCTTCCTGAGGTCAAAGTCTCTGAGGCCCGGTCTCAGACCAGGCTTCCTGGTGGGTCAGCGCTGATCAACAAAACTGCTACTGCTGGCTGCACGCAGTCCAACGTACGAACCACGGCCTGGCTTGTCACTTTAAAGGATCACAACAATGTTCTAATTGCTACGGCAAGGGAAAATGATAAGTTAGATAAATACAACTTTCAAGACAAGGGCTCTTGAGCCAATGATACTCTTCAAGGCATTCTCTCCTGGTTAAAAAACTGCTGTATACTGACACCTGCCTTTTAAGTCAGGCAAGACTGTTCACCTAGGAAATGTAGAGAGTACTTTCACTGCCCATATACTACACTCAAACATCTCAACTACTACTGAGGACGTCTGAAGTCCGTTCACCTGTATTTCTTGAACGTAGGCGAGAAAGATACATCATAATTTACACCTGGAAAATCCTGGAGCGACTGGTCTAAAACCTGAACTTAGGAATCACTATGTGAAAGCAAGAGACTTGACAGATGATGCAAAATACCTTCAATTAAAAGCAGGGAAGCGAGTAAACTCAGAGAGAACTCGTTGAATGTCAGAGGTCCCCGACTCTTCAACACCCTCCCTTCATGAAGAGAACCGACAGGGTGATGAATTAGACACTTGTGCAACACTTGGGTATCTTTATTGTGGAAACGTTTAGCCAATCAGCGGCTTCCTCAGTCCAGTACAGAAAAGAATGATTAAACACATCGCCCTAGAGCTGTTGTGCTCAGTCCATTAATCTTGACAAGAATACAGCACATGCTCGAAGGAGCTTATATACAGCAGAGAGGTGAGGTGAAGCAGTCGTAGGCAGTGTCACCTTGGACAAATCCACAGGTGGAAGTAGGTCATGCCTATAGGTTAGGCAAGCGTAGAATTTTTTATATCAACATCCCAAGATGTTGCTGTGTCTGACAGGGATGTAGATAAACGGTTCAGAGAACCGACAAGTTGGTGAATTAGACTGCTTCGACTCACCTGTCTGCAGTATATAAGCTCTTCTTCGTACATATGTTGTACGGAGAAGAGCTTATATACTGACTGATGGAGTGAACGCCTCGGCTCCCGGCTGAGGGACTGATTACCTCAAACTCCTTCTGATCTTCAACCATTCTTCTCTGTGGAGATAAATGTTATAAAGTACCGACACGATGGAAAAAAAAACACAAATGCAGTACAATGTAATCCTTTACTACGTTTTGCCCACACAGTGGGCTGTATGAAGCCAGGTAGATTGGTTTGTGACTTGATAAAGACCACTGTGTGGGGAAATGTATAAAAAAAAGGATCGCTTTACAGATTTTGGGCATTTTCCATTTCTTGTATGGACTTAAGCCCCGGGGTTGGCGAAACGTTCCCACAATAAAAAATACCCCAATGTTGAACAAGTGTTTCATTCATCACCTCCCCTTTATAATAAAGGGGAATTACCAACATTTTGACCGTCTTCAAAAGATAACTCGTTTTTTTTAAGGCAATTTTTGGGGCCCCCGGGG